TGGGGGCTGCCAAGGCAAAGGTGACACCATGGTGCTGACCACCAGCGACAAGAACAACGTCAAGACCGTCTTCGCCAAAGTCGGCGGCAGCGCCGAGCAACTCGGCGCTGAGACACTGGACAGGGACGTGTCCATCCCCGTCATCATCTCCTCTCCTGACTGTCCCCAACTCCTTCCCACCTGCCCCCATCTTCTCCCCACCCACAACTGTCCTTGTCCTATGTGATCCTGGCCCCGTCTTGTCCGGCTCCATCCGTCCCTGACCCCCTCTCTCTCTCCCAGGATGTTCACCGCCTACCCCCAGACCAAGACCTACTTCCCCCACTTCGACGTGCACCACGGCTCCGCTCAGATCAAGGCGCACGGCAAGAAGGTGGTGGCTGCACTAATTGAGGCTTGCAACCACATCGATGACATTGCGGGTGCCCTCTCCAAGCTCAGCGACCTCCACGCCCAAAAGCTCCGTGTGGACCCCGTCAACTTCAAAGTGAGCATCTGGGAAGGGGTGACCAGCCTGGCTTCCCTTCTTGCCACCCCCTCGCCTCACCCCCTTGCTCACCATCTCCTTTTCCCTTTCAGTTCCTGGGCCATTGCTTCCTGGTGGTGGTGGCCATCCACCACCCCACTGTCCTGACCCCGGAGGTCCATGCTTCCCTGGACAAGTTCCTGTGCGCTGTGGGCAACGTGCTGACTGCCAAGTACCGTTAAGACGGCACCGTGGCTAGAGCTGGATGCAACCTGCTGCCAGCCCTCAATCAGCGAGCAGTCAAATGATCTGAAATAAAATCTGTTGCATTTGTGCTCCAGCCCTGGCGTTCTCTTGTCACTGTCTGTGGGAAGGGAGCGGGAGGGATCTGCGCCGAGGGTCTGAGCTGGGGGTTCCCCCTGCCAGGTGGGCATGTGGAGGAAACGGGCTCTGGTTTTGCTGTCTCTGAGAGGTGGCAGCGTTTGGGTGGTGGTCCCTGGCAGGCAGACCCTGCTCTGCCAGCCGTGGGGCTCCGGGAGCAAGCAGAGTATTTCCAGGCACTGGTGGTGGGGAAAGACTTGCAGACAGGGGCCAGAGTCTGGCCCTTGGGAGGTCCCTGCAGCCCCAGCCCATACTGGCCTTCCCACCAGAGCACCGTGCTGGGATCCGCTGGGATCCCCTCTTGCCCCACCAGCCCCGTGCACCTCTTGACCCCATTCAGGCCAAATTGTCGGAGACCATCTCCTCCTGGAAGTGCTTGCTGGGTCAGGGGGGGTCCCAGCGCCTGTGACCCTCCTGGCACAGCAAAGACACCCTCAGGTCCTCCCAAGGGCAAGGGCATCTTTCTGTGCGTCCCCAGCATGCAGGGCTGTGTGGAATCGTAGGGCTTCTTCTATTTCCATCTAATGCTGCGTTCCTGGGGTGTCACTTCGGAGGGGTCCTGGGGGGCTGGCAGGCTGGGAGAGACAGTGGGCATGGGGGG